GTGTCATCACTTTCTGAGCCTTTGAAATCCCCCAAGCAATTAAACAGTCAAAGAAGAAGAGGCTTTTAGCTTTCCAAACACCAATTATTTCCCACACCAACACAGATGTTGAACATTAAAAATAATGTCTTTCCTCTGAAGAGAGCGGAGGAGCTGAGGACAGCTGCCACAGGCAAGCAAGACCTTGTCCCAAAAAGCATTTGTCAAAGCTGCTGCTATTTAACTTCAGTAAAGAATCTTCAGCCAAAAAAGAAACTTTATAAAATTGCCCGAAGTCCCTTTTTTGGCCAAAGTCTGCACTGGAGCTGCATCGCATCAGCAAATTAATTTGTATGAGAAAGCTGCAGCAAAATGTCTCACCCACACAGGTATTTCAGAGCCTGTCACGGGCATCGATTGATTCCTTCTAAAGCTTTTAGTGCACATTAGTTTGTTTACTAGTCCTAAAAGCATTACTAATTTAGTTTGGGGTTTTTTTAAGCTACAGCAGCACACTGAAAGGGAGCACACCTTAGAAGAGAGCAAATCACAAACACTGCTTCTAGAGGACAAGCTTCGTTCATTTTAAAAATAACACTCCTGTCTACATTTGGAATAATTATAATAAATGGCTTAGCCCAGATGGCCACTTTCAACTCCTGAATTACCAATTCACTCTGCACACAGTACACAAAGCAGTAACAATGTACAATATTTAGTACTCCTGAGACTTCCACACTGTGAATTGTGCCGGATTCCACTTTTGCAGTAAAATATTAATGACGATCCCCAAGTCTGTATCACAAGAGCCAAACAAATCAAAGTAAAATGGGGAATTGACCCAAGGGTACCTAACCTTGCAACTGATACCCACAGGATGGAAAGGTCACACATTAATTGGTTCTATATTATGCAGAACTGCAAAAATTCCAGTAAGCCTTTTCTCTTCTGTCTCTAACAGCTACAAACATCAGGTGGTTTCAAAAAACCCCCCTGGGAGACTAACTGAAATGTCAGATGCAAGAAGAGGGTTAGATACAGCTTCCTCACGCAGTAAAACCCACTGTTAATAGTTTATGGGCATGGGATTTGTGTGCTGCAGCGGAACCAGAGCTTCATTCTGTGGCCAGCATTTCCTCACAGCCCCAAAAAGGATCCTGCTATCCCTCTTCACTTGCCCAATGTGCCCGCACTGCACTTCCAGACGGCAAACACCTCACCAGGTTGGAAGATGGAAGATTTTTAAGGCTGTTTTCATGCCTCAGTTGTAAATAAGTTGCAGAGTCACTAGCCAGGATTAACATCTGAAGGGCACATGCTGGTGGGCCGGGATCCCAGCAGTGAGGGCTCAGAGTGTCTGTGAATGGACAGAGGGAAAACACAGACCTTGAGGATCTTCAGAACCTCCTCCTGTAACCTTGTATTACATTCATGACCCAATATCTGAGGTCAGGAAATTACAGGAGCAAAGAAGGGAAAGGAACGGAAGGTCTGTGTGGGATGAAGCAGAGCTCAATTCATGGAGAGCCTTTTGGAGATAAACTCATTATCTGGAAATTATCTGATGTTATCAGCCACCAGCTTATGTCTGAGGAGTCCTGAGAGTTTGAATCTGTTCCCAAAGCAAAGTTGAATGAGGTAAGAGAATCATCCAAACTAAATAATATTCTGGACCTTACAAGAAAGGCTGTGAAAAACTTTTTAAAAATTGCACCTGGACTCTTAGAGCAAACCTGGAGTCCTACAATGGTCCCTACACATCACCCAGCACTGCCAGGGTATCACAGCATCACACCAAGCCCTCACTCCAAGAGGCAGGCACAGGGAACCTGGGAGGCCTGGCAGGCTGAAGGCCTTCAGATAAGGTGCTGAAACACAACACCTGCACTTTCCATTTCCCCCAGCTGCACAAGAGGCCTTTCTGCCTTGCCCAGGCTGTATGAAAATGAAAGGTCACAGAGAGCTCTGAGGCTTTTGGTGGAGAGGCAGGACGGAGGGCAGCAGCTTTTTAAAGCCCCCAGAGCCTGACTAATACCTAGGATGTTCAAGGATTCCCATAAAGTTCCCAAAGGCAGCTCAAGCGTGCAACAGGAATGCTGAATTACAGCAGAGAGATCCTGAAATGAAAATTCAGCTGGGTCCCAAGTATTCCTGATAATTTATTAAAAAAAGCATCAGGTGTTCACAGCAGTTCACAGTACTTCCAAACCTGCCTTCCAAATTACCTCCAGAGATATGGCTTTAGCCAGCCAGAGGAACTGCTCTGCAGATTTGTTGGGTCAGACAAGACATGGATGGCAAATATATTTGGAAAGGGAAACGTTCTCCTTCCAGGTCTGCTTAGGTTTTACAATATTCAGCAACAGTGATTTCCCAGTGTCTTAAATGGGTGATATGGCCATGGAAAGCAGGAAAGGAGCACTTGAAGCCAGAGAGAAAGAAATCCTGGCTCTTTTTATTCTCATCACTGTTATGCTGCTAATGACTGTCAACAGGGGAACCAAAGGCAGGAATGCGCTCACATGCACAATTCTTGGAGGAGCTGGTGGAGCTTTGCACCAACTGCTAAGCTCTATCTCAAAAGACAGTTTCTATTATTGATTAATATCAGTAATTGTGTGCCTGGGTTTAAGTGGCATTCTGCCACTTAAAAAAGCTTCTGCTATTTGAAAGAGCAACAGCAAGTGTTGAACTTCCAGAAGCAACAGCAAAAATTACTGCACAACCTACATCAAAAAAACCCCAAACTGTCCAAGAAAGACAGGAAAGCTTGAGGATTATTAATTGGGTACAGAAAGCTGCTTTTGACCTTTGCACTGGAAGCCAAAGGTGCTGTTTCACAGGACTCAAAATTTCCAACAACTTTATTTCTCCCTTGTTTACAACACTCGCTCTATCCAATACACTCAGCAGGATTCCCAGATCCTGAAGCACCTGACAAACAGGAGGTAGACAGGCAGCCAGCCTTCTGTGTGGAATCAGGATCTGATACACTAAACAGACACACAAAAGCCCTGGCCCCAAGAGCACCTTCACCCTCTGCTCATTTCAGACTTAAGGGAAATAAAAGAGTGCAACAAGCATCCTCTGGAGTCCAGGGCTGAACTGTCACCTGGACAGGTTAATGTTTCAAGGACATCAAACAAGACCCTCACAGGCAAAGATGCTGGACAGGCACAGCCAAAAGATGTACCTGTAGGCAACAGCACCAAAAAGCCAACAAACTTCAGACCCAGGATAACCACATAATGCCTATGGTTTGTACCAGCACAGACAAGGACAAGCTTGTCAGGCTTACCTGGCTGGTTCTCACACATCAGTGGAACCCAAAAGAGGCTGGGTCAGCAAACAGCTAAAAAACCCAATTATAACCACAAAACCACGATCAGTCCCACTGCATGTTTCCAGTGGCGTCAGGTTTGTTTTCAGCAAACCCAAACTGCAGTGCAGACTGTACACAATGCCTCTCAATTTGGTTAGTGGGCAGCTTTCCAGAAAAAAAAAAAAAATCAATAGAAGTACACCTAAATTTCTCTAGCACTCAGGAAACTTCTCCCCAGGGTCCATTACCCGAGTGGTAAAGGCACCTACACCAGGGCAGCAGCACTAAAAGGGAAAACAGACAGACTGTTTATTTACATAAGTGTCTTTGATTTCTGATCCTCCTCAGTCCAGCTTTTTCTAACACTGCAATGGGTGCAGTTACCAAGTGACTGAAGTCAGAGCTAATACTTCTGGATTTAGGAGCCCAACAGCACCAACTAAATCCGTGTTTACTCACCCAAATGGAGGTGGCTTTGTTTAGATACTGAAAACCAAACTCAACTTGGGACAAATTTTTGCTGCAACAACACATGAAGATTTTACTGGAAGGCTGTAGTGACTGAATTATAGTGTTTTTCTAGAGAAAAGAGGTGTTTTGGTTTTTTTTAAGGTAGAAATACATCATGTGGCAGTATCTTTTCAGAATACCTGTTTTCGTTTTCCTTATCTCCAAGCAGTCACGTGTCTAATGACACTACCACCTAAATTTAGCTCATTCTGTAGCACTGGCAATCCTAGCGATGCCTTTAAGACTGCAACACACCTTTCTTCCTCTCAGTCTCCCCTCTCTCCTGCAGCGTGTGGGGCCGTTTCTGGAACAGCACAGCAGACGGTTCTCCAGAAGCCTCCTGCTTTCCACTGCCCAGAGGAGCAGGGGGAGCCTGCAGGGACAGTGCAGCCACCCGTTCTGCTCAGTGCAACGCCCATGCCTGGCAGCCCCTTTGTGCTCTATTACAGTGCCCCCCTCGCCCGCTTTTGTCTCTGAACTGTCAGTCAGCCTGGGCTAAAACCCCAGGCCACACCAACTTTGGGAAGTGGGAATATTCCAAGGCAGACCTACACCTTGTGGCTCGTCAGATGTAATTAAGATACCGCAGATTTACGTGCAACTCATTAGCGAGGGGTAAATGCTCACGTAAACAAGGGCAGACCCAAATCGTGTTTGCTTCCTGCTGGAATCTTTATCCAGGGGTGGTTTCCCTGCTCGACCGCTGACTCCCCTAGAAAAGGCGGTGACGACACTGTTCAATAAAGGCTGAGACACTGGCCTACAACTCCAGCAAGTAAGAGCTGTCTGGAAGTTCGCTCAAATCACCTTCACAGGCCCTCTTCTCCTCACGCCAGCAAGCCCCACTGCCTCAGCAGAGCAGCCGTGCTCTGCCATCAGCGCAAGGCAGCAGCAGCATCCACGCTGGGCTGCCAGAGGGAGCGTGATGAAGGGAGGGAGCGGGATTTCACACTCTGGAGAACACCGTCCCCCTTCCCCGCTCCGGCTGCTCGCCGCACGGGCGGGCGTCACGGGGGAAACGGGGCAGCAACCTCCGCCTCGGGAGCCTCCAACGCACCGACCCCGCAGGCCGTGCAGGCCCTGCCCCGGGAGGCCTCCAAGGCGGCGCCCCTGTCTTGCAACCGGCGCCAGCCCCCCGGCGAGGGACCCGGGCCCGTGCAGGCCGCGGGCCGCCCCCCGCCCCGGTTACCTTGGTCTCCTTGACGTGCTGCTTGATGCCCTCCGGGTACCACTGCACCCGCACGTAGCCCCGCCGCAGCGGGCTGGCGCGGCCCTCATCCCCGCCGCCGGCCCCAGGGCCTCCCGACTCGGAGCCGCCCGAGCTGGCGGCGCCGCCGGCCGCGGTCCCGCGCCCGCCCTCCTCAGAGTCCTCCTCCGAGTCCTCGCCGTGGATGAGGCGCACCAGGCCGAAGCGCACGGAGCCGCGGTAGCGGCCCGACACCAGGTCGTGGGAGAACAGGAGGCGCTGGGAGCCGCCCGGCGGGGCGGAGAGGGGCAGCGCGGCGGGGGGAGCCGGGGGTGCCGGTGCCGGCGCTGCCGGTGCCCCCTCCTCGGGCTGTTCCGCCATGGCGCCGGTGAGCGGGAGCGCGCGGCCGGCAGGAGGGGGAGGGCAGGGGAGGGGCGGCAAGTAACGGCCCATGGGCGGGGCCACGGGAGGGCACGCCCACATCGGACACAGGCCACGCCCACAAAGGCGGGGTGGGGGGAGGGCGGGACCGGGGCTGGACCGAGGGCGGGGCCAGAGGCGGGACCGGGACCGGGACCGGGACCGGGACCGGGACCGGGACCGGGACCGGGACCGGGACCGGGAGTGGGAGTGGGAGTGGGGGGGCTGCATCGCCTGCTGATCCCCAGGAACGGGGGATTACATCATCGCCCCCAGGGATGGGGGCTGCGCTGCGCCACTGGCCCCAGGAATGGGGGGGCTGCATCCTCCTCTGACCTCCAGGGGTGTGGGGCTGCTCTGCGTCATCCCGAAGGATGGGGGGCACTGCATCAGCATCCCCAGGGATGGGGGGCTGCACTGCATCGTTCTCTGAGCCCCAGGGGTGTGGGGCTGCTCTGCATTATCCCCAAGGATGGGGGGCACTGCATCATCATCCCCAGGGATGGGGGGGGGGGGCTGCACTGCATCATCATCATCCCCAGCGATGGGGCGCTGCACTGCACCGTTCTCTGACCCCCGGGGATGGGGGGCTCTGCTGCATCATCCCACGAACCCCAGGGATTGGGGGGGGAGGCTGCATTGCATCATCCCCAGGGATGGGGGACATTGCACTGCATCACCCCCTGGTCCCCGGAGGTGGGGGGCTGCACTGCATTGTCCCTGAGCCCCAGGGATGGGGGACACTGCAGTGCATCATCCCCCAGTTCTCAGTCACTGCGGGCTGCCCTGCAGCACCTCCCGCTCCCCAGTGATGGGGGCCGTGCTGTTTACAGACCCCTCTGCCTGGGCACAGCTGGGGGGTCATCCTGGCACCGGGCACTGCCCGATGCTGGGAGCTGCTCTCCAGCTGACATCAAAGCCCGGTCTTGCTTTTCACGGCTCCTAGAAGCCCTCATTAGGGTGTGCAAATGAGCAGAATATTTGGCTTCATTGACTCTAAGGATTTTTCCCCTCTGTCTGCAGAGATTTTGTAAACAGAAAAGTTTTTTTGAGCAGGTCCTGCTGCTCTGGCAGGCAAAGGACTAAAGGAATCCAAAATAGCCTTCACTGCCTATCTTTTACCACAACACATCCTGCCTCTTCTCTCCCTAGACCTTCCTGCCTGTGCAGTGCTGGCTTGAATATCAAGAAAATGCCCGAAATCCTCAGCCTAATTTGTTCTCTTGTCAAAAAGACCCCAGGAGCAGCAGAGCAGTTGTTTTCCCTCTTGTCCTCTCCCTCCCAGACTGCTCTGCCTTGGCTGGATCAACCAACTGGCTTTCAGTCCACCTTCCAAGGTTTCTCCTTTCAGGAAAAGAAACCAGGAAGAAGTTCTGCCTGTGCTCACCTCTGGAATCCTCTCCTCAAGACTGGGATCTTCCAATCTTCCAAATGTCCCTAAAGCCCTGGGAAGCAGCTGAGAAGAGACTGGGGCAGGCAGTGTGTGGGTGATGGGGGCACTGGGAGCTCTGCCCAGCTCCTCCCTCCCGCTGGGTGTGGGTGGCAGGGCAGCAGGATGCTCCAAGGGATGGAGAGGTACAAACTATCCCTGCCCTGCCTCCAAATCAGGGAGCTGCAGGCAGTGAAGCCATCCAGCCCCTGTCTGCTCTCAGGCCAAGCCAGCCTCCACCCCAGCATTTAATCACGCCCCAGAGCATCCCGTTAATCAGAAAGGCACTGTGTTAATGTGATTCCTTGCTGGAGCATTTTTGGCTTCAACCCCAGGGATAAGAAACAGAATAGAGCTAAAAGGGACCATTGGGTGGCTAAAAGCAGCATGTCCCACAGGGAAAGGCAGTTTAAATATCCAGTCAGTGCCACTGTGGGTTTACAGATGCTTCCAGGGATGTGCTCCTGGGAATACAGACCTGCACCCACATGCCCTGACCTCTGTGGACAAGCTGTAGGGTTGATAGGCAGCATTCTGAACTTCTAGAGCACGAGTGCCTCTGGCATGAGGATTTCACCCTCTGACCATCACTGTGCTGGAGGGGGGAGTATGACACATCTCCCCAGGGCGTTCATCCAGCCCACGTGGAGCTGTGGACAAGGTACCAACCCCTCTCCCTCTGTAGCCAGGGAGAATTGTGCCCTTGGGAAAGGCAGAAGGTGCCCTTTGGCTTCATTTAATCCGATGCCATGTCTTCTGGAGGTTTCAAAGCAGAGCTTTACCCAGCACAGCAATGCTCCTCACCATCTCCTTAATGTACATTGCAACAGCCACTAATAAAATATAGATGCAGTAATGGGCACAATCATGTGTGGAGATGGAAACCGTCCCTCTTCAGGGCTATTATGTGCTGAAGAGCAGTGGTGGGGGTTCAGGTAGCCACAAATAGCCATGAAAACAATCACATTATACCCCTGCCCAGGCTCACGGCAGGGGCACTGTAATGGGGACAAGTCAGGGCTGTTTGCTCGTTAGCAGCAGTCGAGCTGGGTGTGTTTGTGCACTCTGATCCCTGCTGGAGCTCTGATATGCTTCCATCAGGAAGTGGCACTGAAGGAGCACTGATTGATTTTTTAGGACACAACAGCCCAGGGCCTTGGCTGTCACAATATTGACGGCCTGCAGATTTTACAGTGCCTGGGTGTCAAAAGGAGCCTCTCCTGTTTAACATCACTATTCAGATGTCCACTGAGGCATCTCTGCAAGTCCACACCACCCAGCAAAACGCGCGGGGCTTGTGCAAAGTCACGCATGCCAAGCAGCCTCCCTGCCCAGTTTAGGGACAATTCTTGCTGGTAAGGCTGTTTTGGGAAGGGATGGCCTTTACTCTGCAGGAGAACATCCTCCCTGGAACCAAGCTGTCCCAGTGATCTAACCACCTTATGGCACTTAGGTTAGATCACCAGCGTCCCCCTGCTGAGCTCTGCTGCCCAGAGGGCGTGTCAGAATGCCCAGAGAGTGTGTCAGAATGCCCAGAGGGTGCCAGAATACCCAGAGGGTGCCAAGATGCCCAGCAGGTGCTGGGAAACCCAGGACACCCCTTATCTCCCTGTAGAGATACTGCTGAAAAGCAAGCCCTCTCCTTCCTCCTTGGCTCTCTCCCAGAGCCTCTTTGCTCAGGGTTTAAGGGGCAGGTGCTGGGGTGCCCACAGGGTGCTGGGGGGGCTGCCAGGTACTGGAGGTACCCACAGGGTACGAGGAGGTGTGGCAGGGGCCAAGGATGCCAGCAGGGTACCAGGATGTCTGCCGGGCTCTGGGATGTCCACAGGGACTGGAATAGGTGCCGGGATGTCCCCTGGGATCCCCGGAGGGTGCCCGAGGCCGGTGGGTGCCCGCAGGGTCCCGCGGTGCCCGCTCGGTGCCGGTGCCGGTGCCGGCTGCGGCGGGGCTCTGGTGCCACCTCGTGGGCTGTCGCCTCCCGGTGGCTCCGGGCCGGCGGGGCGAGCGGTGACAGCGGCTCCCCAGGGGCAGCAGCTCCGCCCGGAGCCCCGCTGAGCTGATATGGTTCCATATCAAATGCAGGTGAGCGCTCCACCCGCTCTGCTCCGCTCTGCAGCCCCTCCTTGGCCAATCCTGCCGGTGTTTCCCTCTTTAGCTGCTTCGCAGAGGCAGAGTCCCCATCCTTTCCCTGCTGGGAAGAGCTGGTGCCTTCAGGAAAAGTCTTTCACAGCAGCTCATGTCACAGGGAATGCCTCCAGACCCTCCCACAGGGAGAGCTGGGGGTTTATCTTCATCATCACGCAGACAAACAGCTCAGCAGGAGTCCCTGTGTCCCCATTAACATCAGGGAACAGAAATATGAGCAAGTGATGCAGCATATGGCAATCCCTCATCCTGTCTCTGTGATCCCAGACAGCCTCTGGAGGCTGGGTGGGCAGGGAAGGAGATGGTCTGTGAAATCCCTTCCACCTCAAGCCATTCTGTGATCCTGCAGGAATTGTGATCACCCAGCCCTTCCCCCTCTGGCTGTGCTGCCCTGATCAAACGCTGCTGGCTCTCCTAAAAAAACTCAGAGCAGCATCACCTTGTACATGAGCAACTCGATGTGAGCCTGATCCTCCTCCTCTCCCACCTCTCACCCTTCTCACTGAGAACAAGACCTCAGAACTCCCCCAATGGCCTTGGTCCAGGCTCAGCCTTGCCCTCCAGGATTTTTCTTCCCCGTGGGTGGCATCTGGTCCCCAGACATGTCCAGGGGTCACCCTGGCTCCCAGCAGCATGTGACAGGGTTAGGGCTGGGGACAGGACAGATCCTGTAAGCAGCAGGATGCCCCAGCAATTGCCAGGCTGCTGGAATCTCCTCTTCCCAAAGCCAGACTGGTTCTAAACTGCTTGGAGATCTGGCTCTGGAGGGTGGGGCTGCCCTGCTGAGCTCCTTCCCACCTGCCCAGCCCTCTCCTCCCGGAGAAGCTCCTGCAGCCCCACTGACCTCCCCCACAAGGACTGTGCCACGAGTGGCTGTGACCTAGTTACAAACCCCAGCTCACAGGGAGGAGAGGAGGTTAATCAGCAGCAGTGCTGTGCTCCAGGGAGGGGACTAAAGAGGTCCTGGCTGGGTCCTGGCACCCAGCTCCTGCTGTTGGCTGAAGTTGCCATGGCTGAAACCATCTGCCAGACTTTTTTGTTCTCCTTCCTCAAAGGTAGAAGAGCAGCAAGATACACCAGGCCTGCAAAGGCATGTGTTTATCTACTGCAGGTCAAAGCCAGAGTTCAAATCCTGTTCCTCTAACCATTGCTGAGAACCCAAAAAAGCTGTGGAGTAGCTTCCTTTCATGCCTTCATCCCTTCCCCAGCTCCCTGAGAGTGTCTGTGGGGAGAATCAGCCTCACCACTGAGAGGCCAAAGGGAATATGCCAGAGGAAAGACATATACATGTGTATTTGCATGTTATTCATATTATAGATATACATATATAAACACTTCAGAGCACAGAGCAGAACCAGCCCCTCTAGGGCCTGTTCAGAGCGCGGGGCTGGGGGCTGCCCACCCTCCACAGGAGCCCTCCATTGCTATTTTG